TTTGGTTTTTCGAGACAGGGTTTCTCTGTGTAGCTTTGTGCCTTTCCTGGAACTCGCTTTGGAGACCAGGCTGGCCTCGAACTCATAGAGCTCCGCCTGCCTCTGCCTCCCGAGTGCTGGGATTAAAGGCATGCGCCACCACCACCCGACTGTGTCTCTCTGTCTCTGACTGTCTCCTGCCTCTCTCTGTGTCTCCGTCTCTTTCTCGGTGTGTGTCTCTCTGTCTCTCGCCAGCCCCCACTCTCTCTCCTTGCCCAAATACCTCATCTCCTCTCTCAGCACTGTGTGGTAACAGGCACTTTGCATGTAACAGTTTCCACACTGGGTTTGTTTCCATGCTGAAACTGGAAGACCTGAAGTTCAAGGACCCAATTCTAACCCACAGCCAAACCAAATCTGTGGGTGGGAGGTACTTCCTGCCTGACTAGATGTGCTCCTGGGCCATCCAGCTGGGGCACAGGAAGAGGAAACCCCTCTCTGCAGCTCCTCCTAGTGAAATTCTCCAGGCATCAAATAACCCAAAGCTCAAACAAACCGCTGTAGGGATTTTAAAGCAGGATATCATCCCAGTGCATCATGGGATGCTTGAAACTAAACTAAGAAATGTCTTCCGTCTCTTAGGAACAGACTGTGGAGAAAATGGTGACCTCCACAAGGTACACACAGAGTTCTCTGGAGTTCTTCCTTCTAGGGCAGAGAGCCAAGCACGGCCTAGCCAGCTCCTTCACTACCAAACTTACTTCTAAACAGTAGCTCACTGTAACATACTTCATTCTATTTTCTGAAGCCCTCCTTCAGTCTTGTGTATTGGCACACGCTAACTATTAACATGCCAAGAGAAAAGGTCCCTCGCAGTCTGGCCATTTATGGACACAATACTTGGGAGAGAAAAACCCTTCAAGTTCTTTCTTGTAAATTAAGAAAATTCTCCGTGTGGGCTCCTGTTGAATTATCACCAACACCATGTGCACAGTGCAGTCACGTGACTGAATTCCTTCCAGATCTAGCTCCATAATTCACTCTTTGCCACACGGTCCCCTATTCTTAAACTTGACTTTCCTTAGTACCTGTGGAATTTTGATTGTATACAAAAAGAAACAAGCTGTTCACTACTCCAAGACATACAACACTGTGAGAAGCAAATGTTGGCTTTACAGACTACAGAACTAGGATCCATGGCAGCATCCACAAAGGCTGTGTGCCCAGGTCGGGTCAAAGGTCTTTTAGCTCCTCTTTCTCTATTTGTCATTTACTCAATGGGGTTGGGAGTTTGCAATTGTTTTTAGTTTCTTCTAAGGCCCCTTCTTGGTACCTTAATAACAGACACATGGGTGGGTAGGTAGATAGATAGATAGATAGATAGATAGATAGATAGATAGATAGATAGACAGATAGACAGATGATTGATAGATAGATACATAGATAGATACATAGATACATAGATAGATAGATAGATAGATAGATAGATAGATAGATAGATAGATAGATAGATAGGCTTGTGAGTATATAGGTATATAATATAATATCATGAGATAAATTGTTCCCCAAATATTTATACATACAGACCCTAGACCCTTGTACCTCAAGAACTGTATTTGGAAATAGTGTCTTTAAAGAGGTTACTAAGGTCAAAGAGATAAGATGAGTGGTCTTAATTCAATTGAACTGGTATCCTACTGAAGAAGAAATTGAGACCGCAGACATACAGAGGGAGAAGACAACTGTTAATAAATGAAAGAGAGAGTTCTTAAGAGCTGTCAATCCTACCAACACCTTGATCTTGAACTTCCCAACCTCCAAAAGTAGGAGACAATAAATTTCTGTTGTTTAAGCCACTCAGTGTGTGATACTGTATTATAGAAAATTAGCAAACGAAAATGATAGGTAGGTGGATGGATGGGTAGACAGACAGACAGACAGACACATAAATAGATGGATAGATTAGATAGATAGATAGATAGATAGATAGATAGATAGATAGATAGATAGATAGATAGATAGATAGAATCTGGAATTAATATACTCATTCTATTAAAAATTATGGTAGGGCTTGGGGGGTTGGCTTGATTGGCAAACGCCTGCTTCACAGATAGGAGGATCTGAGTTAAACCCACAGCATCCACATAAAAAGTCAGGCATCACGGCAAGAGCTGGGGAGGCAGAGACGGGAGGACTCCTGGGCTCCCTGGCCAGCCAGTCTAGCTTAATTAGTGAGCACCAGGCCAACGAGAAACCCTGTATCAAAGGAAATAGACAGCATCCCAGAGGATGACGCTTGAGCTGAGGTTGTTGTCTGTGTGTACACACACACACACACACACACACACACACACACTACACATGCATATACACATTTTTTAAAAGATTGTGATGCTCATGGGACCGGGATATAGCCCATGAATAAAGTGAACGCTGAACATGCAGAAGGACTTGGGTTTATCTCCAGCAGCACACAAAACAGACTTTGGTTCCTAAAATGAGCAAACTAAGAAGCATCTCTTTTCGCAGTGCTGGTCCGGCAGTTCATAGGTCCTTTGTGGGTGCTTTCTGCATATTACAATGACTTGGGAGGGGATGCTAAAATGTAATGAGTTGGTTCAGAACCCCAGGTCCTTACTTTCTCAAGCCACACTACTCTCTCACCGTGTACTGTCGCAAGGGCTCTCAAGAAAAAGACGAAGAAACTGAAGAGTGATGTAAACGCACTGCCAACTGCACCTTGACCCCTAGCCCCAGTGATCTGTGGCTCAGAAACCTGAGCACCCCGGGCCCAAAGCAACAGGGTAGCCAGCTTGCCTCTTTCTTTCTCTCTCACCAAGACCTTAACAATGCAAATGTATAAGGAATTAAGATTCCCACCCCCTGACCAAAAAAAAAAAAAAAAAAAACCCACACAGGACAAGCTCAAGCTCCTTCTCCAGTGGCTTGGACCCGCTGCCCTGAACCCTCCTTCTATGGTCTTAGCCTGTTCTTGCTGAGATATGGCAGAACAGGACCCACCCATGATAACGGAGGCTGCTCTTAAGCATCTGGGACCTGGGAAGTATTCCAAATGAGAAAAGGAGGAAAAATCGAAGAGTCAACGCCATCAGTTTTTCCAAAGCCTTCTCTTCGCCTCAAGAGCTGCTTCCCACTAGCTGTGAGCCTTGCTCTGTTTCCCCAGCCACGGAATAAGGGAGAGAGGGAGGGCACAGAAGGAGTTGCCTGGAAAAGACACTTGTTTGCAAATACAAACGGGACGTCCTAGATTTGGATTTTCTATTAAGTTGTGTCTCATCAATAGCTCCCAGCCCAATGCCTGCTTATAATACAAGTTGATCAAATGTTTAAAAGGAGGGAGGGAGAGACAGGTAGAAGGAGGGGGAGGGGAGGGGAGGGAGGAGGGGGAGGGAGGGATGGGAGAAGGGGGAGGGAGGGATGGAAGAAGGGGGAGGGAGGGATGGAGAAACAGGGGAGGGGAGAATAGAGAAAGAAGCTGGGGGGGGAGAGAATGGAGGAAAGAGGGGGTATCCAGTGATTCCTCTGGAGAATTTTTATCTGTTCAAGTAGAAGTTTCAATGACTGTTGATTGCACCAGCCTGAACCCTTCATGTTGCAACAACCATATATTTATGGGATCAACCCAATGGAAATGAACATGCATCTTAAATGCATCTCACCAGCAAAGAGCTCTCAGAAACAGCCACCCAGCCACATGGCCAGGAGGGGTGACTCTCAGCACAGAGGGTCTGAGATCCTGCCACCAGTAAATGGCTGAGACAGTCACTGGAGGGGCTTTCCCAAGTGCTACTGTCGCAAATAGTCAGATTAATATAGGGGCTTTTTTTTTTGTATTTATTCGGAAACAATCTTGCTCCATGTGAAACATTCTAGTTGCGCTATCTACAAACATTCCCGAGCTATTCCTCTGAGCTGCTGTCCCTAGATCAGTCTTGAATTCCATTTGGTCTGAACCAAAAAGGAAAGTAATTCCATATTGCTGTGCTCCCCCGGGGAGCGCTGGGTGTCACTTAAAGCGAGCGGACGCTGTTTGCTATTTTCTTACGCTACCTAACTTTGATATGAACTTTTTCTTTTTCATTCTCTTTCCCACTAGGCGGTTAGAATGCCACCCGTTGCTCTGGCCTTGAAGGAACCGCCTTTTGCACATGGTCCACTAGGTTTCAACAACTGTGGAGTTCTACTGAAAGTCGAAATTTTGCAGTCAGCTGTCTGGAGCCCTTCCAGACCCATCATCCTTCAAGGACCCAGGAGCTACTCCAGATGGCTGTCGGCATCCGTCTTTTCACTTCCCAGCCAGCCGTCAGGGGTGGAGGTGGGCTTGTCTGTTTGAGCATACCCATCCACTTCCCAATTCTATTCAAGGAGTCATCCTTCCTCCAAATCCGTGCCCTAGAATATCTACCAAGCACGTCCTTCTTCACAAAGGAGCCTGGGTGCAAACAGCAGCAAGCGTGAGGACGGGACATGTGAACGGCCTGGGTGTGGGCTTTCCCATCCTCGCCGGAGGTCCACTGAGCCTCCCCGTCTGCAGATTGGGGCTGAGCGCTGCCGCACATTGTTCATATAAAGAAAAAGCGGCTGTTCCCCCTGACTGGCCCTTCCCCGCTCCCAATGTCCGTGACCAACAACAGCTCCAAGACTCTAATTGCCGCAGCCTATTAGAAATAATGAGACTTAACATGGCAGACGCCAAGGGCAAAGTGACATCTTGCAACATGAAAGGTTAATATCAACATATACGGCTAGGAAGAGCAAAGGGCACAGCAACTGGTAGCTCATTACGACCAACTAACCCACACCGGGAACATGTCAGTGCCCCCCACCCCCACGAGGCTTTTGACAGCAAAAGTTACAAAAGATAGGGACCAGCCTGTGGAAAGCCCTCAACTAATGAGCGCTGAAAATCGTTTGAAATATCCCGATGACCTCACGGGCGGTGATGTTGATTTACGATGGCTACAGGAAGCTCCTTTCTTGTCCGGCAGCCCATTGAGAAGCTTTGCCGAGATGTAACTAACAGGCCGTGAAGGTGTCTCCATCTTCGCTGACATGGTCCGTGCCTTGGGCAAAGCAAACATAAAAGTTAAGTCCCACCCCACGCATAGGTTGGAATTTCGTTTCTAGACACGGTCTGGAGGAAAGAGGGCCCGGAGGGAGCCGTCAGCTACCATTCCTGCTGTTGCGAGGGGTGTTAGTGAGGATTTGTGTGACTGACCGCATGACTGCGCTGGGGGGGAGCCAACAGCGAATTGAGGTCTTGAACACTTGACAGAGCAAGTCCGCGGCTCTGTGGCGGAAATTCTATAGAACTTCGGGTGTAATTAAGTAAAGTTTCCCAAGCGTCTATACCCCAGTCACGCAATGCCAGTATGTGGCACAGGGAAGGATTCCCACCACATCAGAATGCATCTATAAACAATGGAGACATTTCAAACGCTTTCTGAGAGGGAGACGTTCACAGAAGACAACAGACCGCTCTGTTAACCATCATTTAGAACCTGTGCCTCTGCCAAGAAATCCCTATCGTGGACAGCCCACCTGTACCTCACAAGAGAGATGAGACGTGCATCCTGTTTGGCTTTCTTAGTTCCTTCTCTAGTAAAACCGGAGTAATGCCTGCCCACTGGTCGCCTCACTTAGAATGACAAAGCTCTTTGGTGGCCAGATCTGCTATGGATCATGGGTAAGCTGTCCCCTCAATACCCAAATGGTTGAATGCTTGGTCCACAGCTGATGCTATTATTTTAGGAGATTGTAGAGTCTGTAGGAGGAGGAGCCTTGCTGGAAGATGCGGGTCACCAGGGATTCAGGTATTGAGGGTTGTTGCCTAGCCCCACTTCTGAACTCAAGTCCAGTCTGTCCTCTGCTTCCTGACCTAGAAGATGTGAGCAAGCTACCTCAGCCACCTACAACCATGGAGCCACCTGCCACTCTCCCCTCCCACATCCACAAACATGGAGGCACCTAACTGTGTGCCCTCAAACAGTGAGCCCCAATAAATCCTTCCTTTCGGAGCTGCTTTCTGTCAAGACGAGAACAATAGAATGCAAAGACTAGTAAAGGACACATTTTGCAAGACAAAGTGTCTAGTAGTGGTTTAGTATTGGTCACTTGGGTGGTAAACACTTTTGTAGGAGCAAATAAAGATGACTGATAAGCAGTTACGAACACAGACCCAGTACCGGCTGCAATGGGGCTAAAGTTGGATGGAATTATATGAGTGGGGGATACAGTAGAAAGGCTAAAATAAAAATTATAGATTAAATTCACAAATTGATCGGGACCCAGCAAAGAGTTTTAAGAGCCAGAATTCTAACCTTAATCTACTATGCACCAAAACTTACATATAATTTTTTTCATTCTTTGAAACAGACTCCAACACAGTTTATGGGCATTGGATTGAGTCATTTCCTTGGTTTAGGCCAACCTTAGACTTTCCTCCATGTATCTTGACTGCGGAGGCAAGCAAACCCAAGATGTTACTATTTCTCTTAATGTGAAGTCCTACCCTGAAAAGGGAAAACATTTATATGAGAATAGAGGAAACAGCCCCAATATTAACCTTTGGTTTCTGATACATACTAAGTTCTGTTCCTGCTAGGACAACTCACTCGTTCTCCAAGTGATGACTTGAGGACTCGGCAGCTTCTTCCATTTTGAGTCTGTCGCCGTCTTCAATGTGGACTTTGTAACACACTTCCACATGAAGTATATATTCAGAAATTAAAACAACATAAACATACATTTTAGGCCATAGATGAGGACGGAGACATGATATGAGGTAATAACTGCGCCTATGAAGTGTTTGTTTTCAGTGAAAAAATAATGTATGAGAAGAAGAAAGGAGGAACGGGGAGGAGGAATGAGAAGGCTCTGGGGGTTCTGAAGAGTTGTCCCCAACTTTCACCACAGTGATTAAGCAATCACGAGACTGCCGATAGTTTAGAATTAGTATCAAATTCCTCATCCCTCCTCCTCCTCAACTCCTCTGGCCTAAATGAGAGAGAGAGCACACGAATGGGTTCAAAAGCATTGCACTGTTAAAATAGCAGCAACCTTGGCCAAACTCTGCCCAGGTTTCAACATGACCCCTCACAAACTTCCTAGGTGCTTCTGTGAAACCTGACAAGCCGATCATAAGATTTATGTCGGAATCCAAAGAAGCAAGGTGAGTCAAAAATAATTTTCATAAAGAATACTGTTGAAGGACTTCTAAACATCAATGATCCCTCTCAAGGTGATGGTAATTCAGACTGTGTGGTGTTGTTTAAGGACAAACATGTACATTGTTGGAATAGGGCAGAGCTCGGAAATAAAGCCAGCTGACTTTTTGTTTGTTTGGTTGGTTTGGTTTTCCGAGACAGGGTATCTTTGTGTAGTTTTGGTGCCTGTCCTAGAACTCACTTTGTAGACCAGGCTGGCCTCGAACTCACAGAGATCCGCCTGCCTCTGCCTCCCGAGTGCTGGGATTAAAGGCGTGCACCACCACTGCCACCCGGCTGCCCGCTGACTTTTAACAAAGATGACAGTGCAGCTGAATGGGGAAAGGAAAGACTGCTGGCGATTTTTAAAGTGAAATTTGATATAGAACATAAAAAACACAATTATGCATATTTTTTGAAGTGTCTGTCCTGCTGATTATTATATACAAGTCAACTCAAAAGGTAGTCTCTCCTAACTACTTACAAAAATAATATTGTATGATTTCACATGAATGCTATTAACCATTTTACTTGTAATACCCCAAATTTGGAAATAATCCAGTGGCATCAACTGACGAATGAATGAATAATTATATCATGATAATGGAATACTGTTTATCAATTAAATTAAAGTGAGAAACTACACATAAGTATTTTATATATAATTGTTATACATTTTATATATTTATATTATATTATTTAACTATATATATAAAGTATTGTGTTATTTATATTATACATTTTTATATCATTATAGAGAGAGAGACAGAGAGAGCGAGAGAACATGACTAAATCCCAAAATCATTGTGCTGAGTTACAGACAAAAATGAATAATATGGAGTTCAGCAATTCCATCCTAAATGCAAACCTAAAAGAAATGGTTAAATCCACCAGAAAACAATTACATAAGAATATTCAAAGCAGTGTTGCACATTGCAGCCCCAAACTGGAAATCACCCATCAACACTGAAGGATTTTACAAATTGTAGGAGAGTCCCTAAGGGAACGCTATATAGTAAAAAGAATTGGTCAACTATGAACATTGCAATGCATTAGAATATTATAAAAATGTATTGAAAAAAGACAGTCAAAGGGGTCACATAAATGTGATTCCATTTACATGAAGGAAAAACTATCACATCCTATTAAAAATCATGGTAGAGGGGCTGGAGAGACGGCTTGGTGATGAACAGTACTTGCTGCCCTTCAAGAGGACCTGAGTTCAGTTCGAAGCATCCTCATCAGGCAGGTCATAACCGCCTGGAAGTCCAGCTCCAGGGGACCTGACGCCTGTTACCCACACAGGCACTGTCCTCATGTGTACATGGCCACATGTGGACACTCACGAGATTTAAAAATAATAAAAATAAATCTAAACCAAGTCATGACTACCCTTGAGGTGGATGAGAGTGTCACATGGTGCATGTGGGGAGCTGATGGTTCTTTGTCTTAGTGATGCTTACAAAAGAATGTTTCCTTCCAGGAAATTCCTTTAACTGTAGACTCACTACCTGACCATTGTCTGCATTCATTTTTTTATTTCATACACACAGAGAGAGACAGAGGGAGCAAGGGAGGGAGAGAGAGAACGAGTCCTAAAATCTCAACTTCTTCGTCATTTACCGTTTGCATGTGATACTTTGGGCTTGTAACTATTCTGAACTATAAAGTGTCACAGGCTCAGCTACCCTGCTGTGCTACAAACCACTAACAACAAGCCTTCCTTCACAGCTGTATTTTCCAGTCTGCTCCCTAAGATCTCTCTGTGTCCCCTGCTCTGCCCGCTTCCTAACCGCCAGCGACTACCTTCTCTCTCTCCTGCCGTATCAACTTTCCCGGTTAGTGCAAGTGAAGGAGAGCACGTGTGGTGTTCGTCTTTAGTGACCGGCTTAGTTCACTTGAAGTGATGTCCCCCCCCCCCCCCCCCTCCTCTTTTGGGGTGCTGCACTACAGGGGGTTTTTTTTTTTTTTTTTTTTTTTTTTTTTTTTTTTTTTTTTTTGAGACAGGGTTTCTCTGTGTAGTTTTGGTGCCTGTCCTGGATCCCGCTCCGTAGACCAGGCTGGCCTCAAACTCACAGAGATCCACCTGGCTCTGCTCCTGAGTGCTGGGATTAAAGGTGTGCGCCACCACTGCCACCCGGCAGATTTTGTTCTTTTCATGTCTGAATAATATCCCCTTGCGTGTATGTACATTTTCTTTATCTGCTCACCTTTGAATGGTCACAGCTGTTGTGAATGCTGCAGCAATAAATATGGACTTAGATATAAGTCTTTGATATAATGATCCCATCTCTGTTACACAATCATTTTTAACAGTATACCCCCATAAAAGCCAGTCTTAGGATTAGAAGAAATTGTACTTCTATTAAAAGTGAAGACAACAATTTTGTGGAAATGCAGGATGTTCAGGAAGAAAAAGAGGACATCAGGATGTTTCTAGGCAAATATGTATGAGTCCATCATTACAACAGTCATAGATCATAATAATAAAAGGAGAACTAAAGAATTTGAAGGAAAATCACCTGTGAATGTTGGTATAAGAAAATAAAGAAGTAGAAAAGGATGAAGAAATGTGCAAATAAAACTTAGGGCACTAGGAAGCAAGAAAAGCCGGGAGAATTAGGTAATCAGTAATGGGGGTGGGATTTGAGAGAGAAGTTCTAGGTTCAAATTGTTCATCTTCTTCTTTGCAAAATGAGGCTGCTATTGACCTACCTCATGAGGTTACTTCATGTGACCAGTAGCTAGCCTGTGGCAGAGAGTTCTGGAATAAGATGTGTGAGGAAAGGCTACAGGTTTCAGGGGGTAAGAGCTAGGACACCCAATAAGGGGAGAAGCAGAAGCAGAAACTCAGCATGTTGGTGGTGAGCAGCCAGGGTCCGAAAGGCCATGAGAGGGTCCCCCAGGGCACTCCTATGGGGAGACGCTCATATGAAGCCAAGAGCGTGGTCAGCTTCCAAATACACGCCTATGGAAGCTACATATGGGATTCATCAGTTAAGGACCTCCAGGCACTTCATCCCAAAGGAACAGTATTGTTCACGTGTGTCTAAGGAAGCTGAATGCAGACAAACACTTACAGACACAACCTTGCTTCTCACATTAGATCATTTCTCTACTAAAATGTTTCTGGGAAAAGAGAAGGGGTAAGGGGGGGGGGAGAGAAGCAGGGAGGGGGAGGCGGAGTGCTTGGCAGGTGTTCACAGAAAGCCAGCTCAGCAGTTCTACCTAACGGGTCTTTGGCAGTGATGCCATTGGGCGACACACCGTGTTGTGACTAACCCTACTCCGTTCACACAGAACACAGCTTTCCCATTAAAGGAAGGAGCGTAAGTGACCTTACACCAAATATAAGTAACTTCGGCTCAGGGATGCGGATTCAGTAGTCCCAAAGAACGTGTTCCAGCATGGAAATGGCTTTGCGAAGATTTTATAGTCACCGAACAGAAGGAATTCACAGGTCAAGGTAGTGGTAGGCAGGTAGGCAGTTCCAGTAAGGGAGGAAACCTGCTCCAAGCCCCACAGGCTGCCTAAGAACATCCATAACTAAAGAATGCCATAGTCTGCTAGGGTACTATATTCCAAAAGGCTTTGCCTGAGAGTCATAAGGCTGTTAGGTCACACACAGAGGTGGACGGTGGGTGGCTGACTGCTGAGGAGACTCAAGAAAGCTGAGAGGCGGGCAGTGGTGGTGTAAGCCTTTAATCCCAGCACTCGGGAGGCAGAGGCAGGTGGATCTCTGTGAGTTCGAGGCCAGCCTGGGCTACATGAGTGAGATCCAGGAAAGGCCACACTGTGAAACTCTGTCTCGAAAAACTAAAAAAGAAAGGAAGAAAGAAAGAAAGGAAGGAAGGAAGGAAGGAAGGAAGGAAGGAAGGAAGAAAGAAAGAAAGAAAGAAAGAAAGAAAGAAA